GTATATGAATGGATGCAGGCCATTATCAATTAGGAAAGCTCATTGTCATATTGTCCCTACAGAGAAATAGTGGCTTAATGTATGTAAAGCAGTAACATTACTGTACACTGACTGCATGGGAATCCAATCAGTACTGAGAATGTCCTCCATTTGTAGTATCTAAGCCATGCCGATATTACTGGTTATCGGCGAATTCAATGTCCAGATTCATCCTAATTGTGTTCCTTGTTTTATCTGTACTGTACCTATGTATTGTTTCGCTAAAGTGAATAATATATTTCCTTTGTCAGTTTGAGGTCCGCATGTACCTGGTACACTATGACAAAACTAAAGTTATACTATGGAAGGGGTACCAAGAGTGCATAAACTCAGCTGTATATATTCACACACCCCATAAGTTTGACTCTGGTGAAGCATGCTCGATATTGTCATGAGCAGATATAATAGGCTGTGTTGGTATATTTGGTTATTTTGGCTGCCAGTATTCACTGGGCAAGGATCCTACTGGACGCAGGCACGCGCACACGCACGCACGCACGCAGGCACGCACGCACGCACGCAGGCACGCACGCACGCACGCACGCACAGCACTCCATGGTAACACTGTATCACTGCTGGGCGGTTGGGTAGCCTGGTGGTTAAGCATTTGCTAGCTATGCCAAAGACCTGGGTTCGATTCCCCACATGGGTACAAATTCGTGAAGCCGATTTCTGGTGTCCCCCTCTGTGATATTGCTGGAATATTGCTAAAGGCGTAAGACTAAGCTCGCTCACTCACTCACTCACTCACTCACCTAGTGGACTAACATTGTAAATCCAGGATAAGTTGGGACTCTCACACACACACACACACACACACACACACACCGTACACACACACACACACACACACACACACACACACACACACACACACACACACACCGTGCTGTGCTGTGCTGTGATTTTGAGCAGGATGTTATATCCCGACGTGCCACCATCAACACCTCAAAAAAAACAGTTCACTTGACAACATATTTGGATAACATTTTGATAGCAGATTTACAAAATTGAAATTGAAACTACTGCCATGGCTGAGATTTGAGATGTTCAGAATGTCTTTGTTATCATCCAACATTAAGCTGACATGATTAAATCTGCTCACTGCACCGCACTTCATACTAGGATGGTTCTCATTGCATCAGATTCAAGGACATTGAATGGTTGTTTTCCATTATGTCCCAGTGACTCTTTTCAAAATTGGTAATGATATAGAAGAATGGAACAAAAAATTGATAAAATTGTAAAAATCTTCTAAAATGTTCAATGTTATGCCTGTTTCTCTGCCTCGTTACGTCTGCCTAATGTGCCATGTATGTCGGCCCCATGCTGCTTCACTGGGCCTTCTCAGCAACTGTCTCTGTGAAACATTATGTTCGGACTATTTAATTCTACAGGGTTCTCCCAACTGAAGTGTATGATTCTTTGTCAGTTGATTTGCCCCTTCCTCACTCTGCACACAAATCTACATCAAGCTAACTAGCTCAAATCCCTAAACTAACCACAAATCACACACATCTGCCCCATGGCCGAGCTGACTCTGCATCAAAGGACCTAATCTTATAGTCCCAAACATTACAATTTAGCTGGAGGAAATTGGAGGGTGAATATAGCACCTAACACTTCTGTACTGCAACTGAGAATTAGAGTTGCAGATACTGTGTGTCAGATTAGTGGTACCCCTGCAGCTAGATGTGAGCTTAGTTTGATTCATCGCCTTATAAAAAGACCAAATTATTTGGCAATGCTTTTTTGCGGTTCACCTGAGAAGGTCGAACTTTCTTTCTAGTCTTTATTGTGTTGTGAAACAAATCTCATGCAGCTTTGAAATCAAATTGTTTGTTTCATGGTCAGTAAGGGATAAAACAAGGAATGTATGTATATATACTACTTATCTTTAGATTGGGTCAGTAAAATTTCTCTATATGAATACACATTTGACATATTTTGGAAGTCATTTTGGTCTATCACTTTTATATCAGAAATATCCCTCTCAAAATTTCAATATTAGAGGGATTTGCAATTGTTCATCATCTACATCCAGGTGGAGTTGGTGGGGTAGCAGGAATATTGCTTGAAGGAGCATGGAACCAACGTCACTCACTCACTCACTCACTTAGTGATCAAAGCATTTGCTCATCATGCCAAAGACCCTGATTCGATTCCCAGCATGGGTACAATGTGTGAAGCCCATTTCTGGTGTCCCCTGCTGTGATATTGCCGGAAAATTACTGTCCTAAACTAACGAACGAACGAACGAACGAAGGCACGAACGAAGGAAGGAAGGCACTCGAACGAACTCACTCACGCACTCACTCACTCACTCACGCACTACACACCACGCACGCACGCACGCACGCACTCATAATCATACAGACTACTTAATGTAGCCCCAGAAGATTCTGTAGTTAGCAGTCATTCTTATTTTGTTAGTTGACACCTTCTGCTATCTGTCTAATATTGTTGTAGAACTGGGCTACGGGTTGATGTCATCTAGTGCTTAAGTAGCTATCAGTGTCCTGTTTTGCAAACATATCACAGCGCTACCAGTGTTGATGTGCTTGTAAAAGTATTAGAGTTATTATTATCTTAGCGCTCAGATGGCTTAATGGAACAGGACCCTGACTGACAAAGACGACACATTAAGACTATTCAGCTCTGGTGACAAACAGCAACATAACCATTTTAAATAATCATTAGAAATCTCTGCTAAAAGCCGAATGTATTGTACCATTCCATCTGTACAGTAAACATGTGTTCATGGATCATTATCAAATAGTGATGCCGCCAATTGTTCTCGATCCTGACCCAGTAGTGGGATCAATCGGAAACGTGTGCAAAGGAAAGTCAATTTATGGCAAATATAAACTCTTTGAACTCTGTCATACTTTTCCTGAATCTGGAATCAGCATCTACTGAAAGGTACTGTGTAGCCTTCTCTTTTTGACTTAGATAGTGGGACCCGTGAAATCCGGATTAAAATTGATCTTCAGTAACCCATGCTTGTTGTAAGAGGTAACTAACGGGATCGGATGGTCAGGCTTGCTGACTTTTTTGAGACATGTCAGTGTATACCAAATAGAAGCTCATGCTGTTGATCACTGGATCATCTGGTCCAGACTTGATTATTTACAGACTGCCGCCATATAGCTGGAATATTGCTGAGTGTGGTGTAAAACTAAACTCACTCACTCACTCACTCACTCACTCACTCACTCACTCACTCACTCACTCACTCACTCACTCACTCACTCACTCTCTTAGATGTTGGAATGGGTAGTTGGTGGAATTGGTAGTTTTTGGTTAATGGTTTGCTATCAGACAGAGGTCTTGAGTTCTGTTTCCAACATTGGAACACAATGTGTAAGGCCCATTTCTTGGTATACCTTGCAAAGCTGTGAAGATCCAGGTTAAAATTGGTCTTCAGTAACCCATGCTTGTTGTAAGAGGCGACTAACGGGATCGGGTGCTCAGGTTCGTTACTTTGTTGAAACATGTCATCGCATCCCAACTGTGTAGATTGATGTTCATGATGTTATCACTGGATTGTCTGGTCCAGACAATTATTTACAGACTGCAACCATATAGCTGGAATATTGCTGAATGCGGTGCTAAACAATAAACAAACATACTATAGCTGGCAAATTGTTAAATTCTGAAGGACAAATAATTAAATAATTTGTTGTGACCTTATCGAGTATCACATCCAAGCATGTTGCTAATCTCCAGACAGCAATATCTCAACTGACTTGTCCTATAGTATCAGTTATAAATCACTAAATCGAAGAAGTCAAGCCAAACAGGAAATTGTTTGGAAGTACGTAAGATTTATGATATGTCTTAGAAGTTGTCTGTTTTGATCAGCTACAGCAGAGAAGCTATGAATGTGAATCCTGGTTCATTGACGCTTGTTTCAGAAGCTGGGTATTGTGTGTCAGAAATTAGATCTGATTGGATGGCATACTGGTACTTGCAGATGAAACTATTTGTCACTGTAAAGCTTGTGGCTCTTAGACAGCGTTGAGTAGGTCACTGTGGAATTTGATATTTATTCTTTCCGTCACATTCACTAAGCAGAATGATGTGGCTTATTCAAAATATTGTTCCTCGAGCATGTTGAATAGATGTCAGGACTGCATTTCTGTTTTTGGTTATCCAATGTTAATTGCTGTCTGGTGTGGAAAGTCTTCATGATTCTGATCTGAAAGTGTCTGGTAGATTGATAAATATAACCTTTTGCATAATTGTATCTCTGTTTATCATCCAACAGTGTGTTCCACAGGAGATATCGCTTGCATGAGATCATATGATATCTCCTAGGAGATATTGTTTTGATAGTAGATTCTGTACAATGCCCTGACAATGCTATGACGTCATCAACTTGATGTCACAATACTATGGCATCACTGCACTGCAAGTCTAATGGTAATACAGTGTTGGGAGATGTACATTTTTCATTTAAAACTAATGAAGAATGATTTTTGATGATAAATAGAATCTCACCCTCGTGTCTACTGATATCAATGATATCAACACTCGTTGATAAAGGTAAAAATATCGATATCAGTATAGTATCTCACCCTGAACTACTGATATCAATTATCAACACTTTCGTTGATATCATTATATCAACGAAAGTGTTATTGATATCAGTAGGCACGAGGGTGAGATTCCCTATATCTCACACATTGACTATATTGTACTGTACCTGTAAATACGTGAAAAAATGGAAAATAAAAAAGATATATATAAAATCTGGCTTACTTCACAGCATGTACAGGTGTACAGCATGTACATTGGATTTGATATCAGTAGTAACCTGACTATATGTACTGATGTTCTGTCAGTCACAAATTTATAGTTATTTGCACAGGTAAAATGTGCTGTCAAAGTATGTTTCAAATCACAATGCTTATATGTGGCCTCTGTTCTTTCACTAATGTTTATATTTATTTTTTCAGAAAGCGCATCACGTTGGCCATGGTGGGAACACTCTTCACTTAAAGAGAGGTATGTATAATGTTACTATGGCAACTGAAAGGGGTATAATGATCACCCAAAAAATAGCCCAGGAGGATTCTGCATCAGATTGTTTTGGATCAAATGCTTGTTACCTTAGTATTATTCAGTTTCAGAATGCCAACTTCCTCCTCCCACCCTAATCTTCAAACACCCCCCCATCACCATCTTCGAGCACCGGGGTGGTGGGGTAGCCTAATGGTTAAAGCATTGGCTCGTCACGGCGAAGACCCGGGTTCGAATCCCCACATGGGTAAAATGTGTGAAGCCCATTTCTGGTGTCCCCCGCCGTGATGTTGCTGGAATATTGCTAAAAGTGGCGTAAAACCAAACTCAGTCAGTCAGTCTTCGAGCACCTCCACCCTCATCTTCACCCCCCTCCCCATCTTCACCCCCCTCCCCCATCTTCACCCTCACACCCCCAGCCTCATCTTCAAATACCCCACCCTCATCCTTATCAACAACAAACACTTCATCAAATGCCCTCAATTCTGATCATCTTTAAGCACTCTATCCTTCATCTCAAACCCTTCCACATACTCCACACACACAAATGGTCTTCAGTAAACCATGCTTGTTGAAAGAGGCAACTAAAGGGATCGGGTGGTCAGCTCACTGGTTTACACGTCATATTATTCCAATTACATAGATCTATGCTCATGCTGTTGATCACTGGATTGTCTGGTCCAGACTTGATTACTTACAGAACGCCGCCATACAGCTTGAATATTGCTCGGTGCAGCATTTAACAACAAACCAACACACATTCCTACCCAACTCTCATCTTTAAGCTGTAATACTTTAATGGAATAGGATTAAACTGGCTACTCTCTTGCAGACCTATTCTCTTCTTGCTGCCTGTAATGTTATATTTCGAACATTTAGTATATACAAATGTCTTTTTTTTTTTCCTCATCAACTGCAAAATTGCTCTGGCAAATGCTGTGTTGTATTGCTACATTACTGTAAATCCAATAAGAACATTTCCATTTCCATATGAGCATTTTCTCATTTCAAGATTGAATTGCCAATACTCTGGAACATTTTTGTACATTTCTTCAAATTCTCATCAGTAGCTAATCCTAAGACAATCACAATGCCCAAGACTGAATGCACGGTTCATGCATATGAATTGTGATGCTGTGGTTGTCTTATTGGAAGAATAATGCTCTGCAAATGCAAACCATTTCTGAGCAAATTGATTTTTTATTAAATGTTAAGAATGGTAATAACATCCTAGAAGGGTACAACTGAACAAATCTGGAGCTGGCTAAATGTGAGCTATCTTCATATATTGGATATTATCAAAATTGATTAATCGTAATAATTTTGATTACTTCTACTAGAAATATTACCGTAGAGAATCGTGTATGTGTGCTCATGTAATTGACTGTATGAAGACTAATGACTTTATACTATAGAATCAGCGGTGATGGATCTGACTTTATAATGTCAAATTGAGCATTATCCTAGTGCTGTTGATGATATGTGATTTGTGTGCAGTATTCATGTTGTTGAACAAAATATTCAGTGCACCTAACTGAATGTCAAGTCTAACAGTTATAACTGGCAAATTTCTTAAAGAGATTTGAATCTGATTTCCAATATGTCCACCTGGTCAGCCATATTGAAATGTATATATCTATTACGAAATTGCTTGTGTTTCCTTATCCTGACTCATGCTCTTTTGCTTGTCTTCTTCTTCTTGCGAACATAGTGGAACACTTGTATCTCCCTAATTGAAGCTCCTTCAATTTAAAATCACTAATTAGTATTCACCACGAGTTACCTCCTTTCCACAAGCGGGGAGCAGAGGCCACCTCTACCCATGTGCCTCACTCTCTCCTTCTTAGCCCAGTGAGCTGGGCGTGAGAAGCGCCTGTGTCTCCCGACACACTATATCCTTTGAATTATATTTAGTTAGTTACCTCGTATAGACATCTATAGAGGTTTAGCTAGTATCCTTCAGCGATTATATATTGATATTTAGTCGTTTTTCTACAGTTTATTCACGGGGCGCCGTGTTTGTTTCAGTGGATTACGTTGATGAAAATTCTGTACTATTGCAGATTACGTTTTTATGCTGCTGCTGATCCGCCTTTAATATGATGTATGCGGTAGCCATGTTTATTATATTCACATTGCAGTTCGCGGTACTAATTTATCCAATTCTACCTTTTTATTAATATTTACTTTGCGTTTGTACGCACAGCAGATAGCGTATGCAGAGTCTAGTATGACTGATACACGGAACCCTCGCCAGTCTACTGCTGTTGGCCCGACTCCCTCCGTGTGGTGTTCGCTAGAGTGGTGGAGAGGTGTGGGGCGTAGTCCGCCATCTCCAAGAAGCATCCTGCTTCCCCAGACATCCCATCGTCGCAGCAGAAGACTAGAGGGTTTTCTACTACATCTCAACAAAGCGAGACCGTTCCCATCGAAGTTTTGGGCCTGTATGATGATCAGCGGTCATCATACGGATGTACATCAAAGATTGACCGATGTCGGCACAGATCAGCATGCAGCCTGATGTACCAGCGCAGATATCGCGATGATCGTCCTGAGGGTCCCATCATTACCAACACTCAGCGCAGGCGTCGCACACCCAGGGCAGCGTCGACCTCTGAGGAAAATCAGCGAAGTCTACTAGGACTTTCTCAGCGAGATTGTTCCAGCCGATGACCTGGACCTCTCGATGATCAGCTGATCATCATCCCGGCGTCATACAAGAAGCGACCGGGGACAGCTACAGCGACATCAGCAGAGATCACCATGCAGCCTGATGCCTCTACACTGATGTCGGACGATTTTCGGTGGACCCCTCCATTAACACGCAGATAAAGCACCCGGCGACCTGCGTCGCAGACCATCCCAGAAGACATGATGCGACAAATTATGAACATCATGGAGGACCAATATCTCGCGGTAGCAGGGTCGAGCCAGCGAAGGCTCCAAGCGTGAACAGCACCCCAGAGGCACCCCCGTCAGCGTAGCAGCCAGGGCGATGTCACCCAGCGAAGGAAGTCGCGGACCACCTTGGCCGAAGGACCTAGATGTACAGCCGCCGGCGAAGGACCTAGATGTACAGCCAGCGAAGGCGGAAAGAACCTAGATGTACAGCCTTCGCGAAGGACTTCGCGAAGGCAGGATAGATCATCACCTTATGCGGTTTCATCCCTAGATGTGGACTCGGACCATCAGACATCCGGAAGCCAGCGAAGGTCATATCGTCGTTCCCCGGACGGACGCAGAGGAAGCCAGCGAAGGCATCTGTGAGGACACCTGAATCCAGATCATCATCATCTAGAAGGACATCGAGGGACTATACAAGAGCTTGTGAAACTATCAGCGTTCCCCTCACAAGTCTCGAGAAGATCAACCCATAGACAAGTTGATCATCGATATCAAGTATAAGAACTACAATCGTATATTGGTTCTGTTGAATCCATGGCGAGGCGTATGTTAAGCTGGCCTAAATATAGATCTAGAGCGATCAATTAGACACTTATCACCAGACCGTAACCACGACTTCTGAATATGATAAGATGATCCATGCGACCCTACTTAGGCAAAGCGGCAGCCCGATCCACATCCTGTTAAACACAGAGGCTGTTCGCGAAGCAAAGCTCATATATATATTTTATATATATATATATATACTAATCGGGCTTTGACTCGACACCTTAGCGATGGTCGCGAAGGCTAAAGTAACTCAAGTCTACTTCACCCAGAAGATCTAGAAGGGATGCCGAGAACTTAGCGAAGTCTCGGCGTTCACCGAGGAAGTCTCCTCCAAGGTTTCCATATACTAGCCACTTTCGTCATATATAGCTACTTTCGTCAGTCCGTTCAAGGCGTCGCATAAGTTGATTATCAACTGTATGCCAGATGCCGATCTATAAGCCTCTGCGAAGATAATTGCTCAGGCTATTTACAACACAGAGCGTCGCTGTATTATTAGTCAGCGACATTTCATAGATCTTCACAGAAATCAACTATTCGTATAAATTGCTAATATACAATCCCGGACGGCGATACGATTATCTACATGCGTGACCATTACGCATATCTGCGAACAATTCAATATCGAAATTGAACAGCAGCCTTGTTACAGCGAGTATAACTCTTAATCGTCAAAGTTTCTGAGAAGAAATATGTACAACAAGTTCAGCGTTAATTCTACAATTATGGCCGATACATTCATGTATACAGTCTACAAGCTCACAACTTGCAAGTTGTTTATACCCATATATATAAGGAAGTGAATTATATTCAAAACTGAAATTACTTTCCGACAACCAGGAAAATAACCTACCCAGCATAAAATTACAGGCGAGATATTGGCGCGGAGGTTTTCAGCGGTTACCATTAACCCTCGAAACCGTGGTCTTTCGGATAACCGGGGAAGCTACGGTGAAGACCGGCGTTTATGCTAATATCAAGCGGCGACAAGAATTTATTCAAGGTGGGTTTTTCCGCTACACCGGTGACATCTGGCGGGTATTATACAGAATCAAAATGCCTTGTTCTGATTGGACCCGCGAGGGACAACGACCTACACAGAGGTCGATCTCTATTCACAGTTCAAGACTTACGTCACAAGTGACAACTATATATCAGTGAGCGAGCAAGCCTCATTACAGTCAGTTAACCTGAACATTCATGATTAGACTGCCTTTCTTCAAGTTAGAGACCTCCCTGTCAAGTTAAGGCGAGGGATCGGCAGTCAGGCGATTTTACATAAAGTTCAGCGAGGACAGACACACCTGGTTGTGCACCTACATCGTCAAAGGACTTACTTGGCGCGAATTACCTAGGCGAAGATACAAGTGGATCTAAATCCACAGCGTTTCAGACTACAGCTGAATTTCATCAAGCGACTAACACAACTAGATGGTTAGTAAACCTACTAAACTTCTGTTTGGAGAATAAAGCGGAAATTTCCGCCCAACCTGGGGATATGAATATAGTGCTCCAACACCTCACAAGTGAGGTTTATGAACACGCCTGGATGACATACTTGGACCCCATGATACGATGATTCTATCAAGATGGCCAGCAAGAGCACTGTAAATTTATCTCCACCAAACCAAACAGGAGGAAAAATGCAACAGATTATTTCCTCTATCATCAACTTACGCAGAGTGAAGTCTCATGTACTATATCTCCATTTGGATCAGAACTGTCATACTACGTGCATATGCGGATGGACCTATTCCGACCCTCCATGAGCTTAATACTCATGATATTATAAGCTAACTTCTACAATTGTTCTACACAAATGTGATTGAAATAATGGAGGGTTTATTTCTGGAAATCCGATATGGTGGTTGCAAACCATTATCTGAGAGATATCACCACGAGGGCGTCTCAGGTATACACCAATTCGATCCCATGGTCCTCGCACAACAGCTGACAGTTCCTCGGGAGAAGATAAGTCAATCTAACAGATTTTTACTTATCTTATAACAATACTAAATAGCTTCATGCTATATATAATTTACTTAAGTTCCTTTTATCATCACAGTACTATGATTATTACATCATACAATATATAAGTTAACAACTCTACAGAGTTTGTTATTATATATATTTACCTTAAGTTATTCATATCTTAAGAGTAATACTATGGTTACATGATAAATGCATTAGCTAACAAACTCTACAGAGTTTTTGGCTATTTTATACATAGCTTAAGTTAATTAAGCTAACAAACTCTGAGTTTTACTATTATATAGGTAACTTAAGCTAATTATACCTTAAGCATAGTACTATACTCATATTATTAAAATATATTGGCTAACAAACTCTAAGGAGTTTTGCTATTATATAGGTAGCTTAAGCTTATTCATATCTTAAGCTTAGTACTATGTTTATATCATATAAGTAGATTAGCTAACAAACTCTAAAGAGTTTTTGCTATTTGGCTTAAGTATCATCATATTTCTAAGCAATATGGTTATATTATAACATGTATTAGCTAACAAAAACTCTACAGAGTTTTAGCTATTATATATGTAACTTAAGCTTATTCATATCTTAAAGCAGTACTATGTTTATATCATATAGGTATATTAGCTATCAAAACTCTAAAAGAGGGTTTTGCTATTATATATTTAAAGCTTAAGTTTCATCATATTTTAAGCTTTATGGTTACATTATAACATGTATTAGCTAACAAACTCTACGGAGTTCTTGCTATTATATATGTAGCTTAAGTTTTCCTTCATAAGCTCAATACTAGGTTTATATCATAGCTAACAAACTCTAAAGGGTTGTTTTGGCTATTATACAATTAGCTTAAGTTTTCATCATATCTTAAGCAGTATGTTTACATTATAAAGGTATTAGCTAACAAAACTCGACGGAGTTTTGTTATTATATATATATAGCTTAAGTTTCATCATAACTTAAGCTCAGTACTATGTTTTTAACATAAAAGTATATTAGTTAATAAACTCTAAGGAGTTTATTTTGCTATATACATTTAGCTTAAGTCTAATCTTATCTTAAGCTTAGTACTATGGTTACACTATAAACATATTAGCTAATAAACTCTACAGAGTTTTTGGCTATTATATATGTAGCTTAAGTTAATAATATCTTAAGCACAATACTATACTCATATTGTAAAATATATTAGCTAACAAACTCTCACGGAGTTCTGCTATTATATATGTAGCTTAAGTTCATTATATCTTAAGCACACTACTATACTCATATTGTAAAATATATTAGCTAACAAACTCTCTGAGGGTTTTGCTATTATATATGTAGCTTAAGTTAATTATATCTTAAGCACACTACTATACTCATATTGTAAAAATATATTAGCTAACAAAACCCTACAGAGTTTTGCTATATATATGTAGCTTAAGTTAATTATATCTTAAGCTCAGTACTATACTAATATTATAAATATATATTAGCTAACAAACTCTACAGAGTTTGGCTATTATATATGTAGCTTAAGTTAATTATAGCTTAAGCACAGTACTATACTCATATTATAAAAATATATTAGCTAACAAACTCTACAGAGTTTGGCTATTATATATGTAGCTTAAGTTAATTATAGCTTAAGCACAGTACTATACTCATATTATAAAATATATTAGCTAACAAACTCTACAGAGTTTTGCTATTATATATGTAGCTAAAGCTTATTCATATCTTAAGCTCAGCATTATATCTATATCATATAAGTATATTAACTAACAAACTCTAAAGAGTTTGCTATTATATAATTAGCTTAAGTTTAATCATATCTTAAGCTTAGTACTATGTTATATCTTAAAGTATTTTAGCTAACAAACTCTAAGGAGTTTATACTAGCATATTAACAAGCTTAAGTCTATTAGTCTTAAGCATTGTATTAATGTTATATATACTTTATCATAATAAGTACATGGTAATAACCTTTTATATGGCAGCTGATAAGTTAGCAGCAGGAATTCATCAGTTCAGTGCCTTTATGAAGTTCCCATAGGGTTATTACAATCATCACAGTTCAAATCACTAATTATTAAAATCCAAAGTATTAGATATTCCCACCTCCGTTCCGTAGGATGCTACAAACAAAAGAGCATGAGTCAGGATAAGGAAAAATATGTAATTTTGGAGTAAAATTGATATTTTATACTTATCCTGACTCATGAGGTCAGCCCTCCCATCCTCCCAAATAACACTTTGGATTTCCCTGTAAATTCAAATGTTGGGCTCAGTATATGAGAGAGAGAGTGAGGCACATGGGTAGAGGTGGCCCTCGTTCAGCTTGTGGAAAGGAGGTAACTTCGTGATAAGTGAATACTAATTAGTGATTTTAAATTGAAGGGAGCTTCAATTAGGGAGATACAAGTGTTCCACTATGTTAGCAGAGCAAAGAAGAAGACAAACAAAAGAGCATGAGTCAGGATAAGTATAAAATATCAATTTTACTCCAAAAATTACATCAGTGTCAGGCTGCAACTGTCCAGAGGGCCAGGTGTGTGTGGAGGGCTCCGCTACCAGGAAGCCGCTGTGTGTCAACAGACACTTCCTGAAACAAGGGTGAGTTCGCTACAGTAAACATCACCTCCACTGGGAGTGGGATTAGACATGTCACGCCAGTAGCTTCATACTGGGGGATTTCAGCTTCTTTGCATGTGTTTAGATTTCAAGCATCATGTTTTTCAAGACAATGTTTCTGAAGATTAGACCAAATCAAATGCATAATTTGTCAGTATCAATAAATCGGGCATTGGGGATTTTTTATTTTTGTAATTGAGAGAAAGAGAGAGCCTGTCAGCTAATACCACAAAGATTATTTTCAAAGATTTTTATACATGTTGGTCACAAAAAAGATAAAGAAATTGTTGCTTCATTACTCATTGTTCTAAGGATGGAGAATTGCTTTGTGTATGCCATAGTTCTGCAAGGTTAATTACTTATATCAGAGCAGTATTTACGATGTGTGATTCACACTGTCTATAAAACTTGGTTATTCAGTTGTCATATTTGTAGGTTTCCCCAAAGTGATAAAGTTTTAGCTTTTCAGCTAACACATTCATAACTGCAACAATATTGTAAAGAGTTGGGTAGCCTAGTGGTTGAATAGTTTACACTTCACGACAAAGATACATGTTTCACTCTCCACATAGGTGCAATGTGTTAATCCAATTTAATGTGTTCCATACAGTGATATTACTGGAATACTGCTGAAAGAGGTATGAAACGGAACTTAATCACTCTTGTTAAACCTGCTCACTCATACATGCATTTCCTTGTCAACTGCAGAGAGAGGCTGTTCAGGGACTTCCAGCGACACCACCCAGACATTAAGTATGAGGGACAGCAGGCCAAACACCATCAGGTCCAGCCCCACATTGAGAAACCTCATGATGTCCACATCAGTGTCCATGCCGAACATGAGGCTGACCACCCCAGCAACAAGCAGCATGATGCCCAGCACTCTGTCAGTAGGCATCAAGAAATGCAGCTTCCTCGCAACAAGTACCCTAGCAACAAACACCATGAGATCAAGCATGTCAGCAACAAACATCACAATGAGGTTCATGATAAGGTATGGATTTCTCTGTTTGTTATGTCATGTCGTGGCCTTGTTGAATATTGTTCTGATGTATATTTTATTTGTATATTTTATGGAAGACATGCTCATGTTGTGGTAAGATTTGGCCACGGTAGCCATGATAAACTTAACAAGGTGCACATAAGCCTGAAAGGCCTTTAATTTGAATAGGCCCTTTTTTGAATGTGCCCCAAAAAGGACCTAATTTGAATCTGCTTTGAAAGTTTTGAATATGAATCTGCCTTTGAAAAAGCCCTGACTGTGTGATGAAATGTTTATGAAAAGGCTTTTGAGTAAAGTCTGCCATAAAAGGGCTTAATATTTAAGAACATGTCTGGAAAGACTGTGAATTTAAATATGACTCGAAAAGGTAAAATATTTGGTCAAAATGTCTGGAAATGGCCTTGAATCTGAATCTGCTCTGAGTGTCCTATTTTTTATTGAAAAGGTCTCGATAACTCTTCAGTTATTGATAAATCAATTTTCAAGTTAAACTTCAATTACCATTTTCTCCAGGATTGTCTTCTGACATCTTGATCATGAAATGATATTTTCAATTCCTTTAATAGTAGACCATGGCATGACTGTCAATATGGGCCTGTCTTATTAACAATTATATGAGGCTCTGCACAGCAGTGACTTTGGCCACGGGTTCGTCTGGGTCAGGAATTAGTTTACCAGCCATTGCCATAAAAGACTGATGGCGACTACATGAAAGCACATTTGTTCAATCACAGAGTATGTACAAATATTTTGATTGATTGTTTCAGAGTCATCACATTCTGGAACATCATCAGAGAACTGGCAGCATGAACCACCATGCTCATCACAAGAAGGTTGCAGGTACTCTCTCCTTTAGATCCTGGTTAGAATTTCTCTAAGAGGAGATTCACAGGATCAAGTGGCAGATTGGCTGACTTGGTTGATGCATGTTGCAATCCCATTTGTGAAGATCGATGTTCATGTCAATTTTTGGATTGCCATGTCCAGACTTGATTATTTACTGACCACCTCAGCTAGCTTGAATATTGCTGAGTGTGGCGTTTAAAGTATGTCTGCTAAAAGAGAGCAGATTCAGACACTAAGCACATTTAAGTGAAGTTGCTAAACATGATGTCATTTGTGAACTCAACTGTCTTATAGGATATGTGTAAATCTAATGATTAATGATTGTCTGTATTAAATGTAGCAAATGTGTCTTCAAACAATGGATCAATTATGCCATCTCGATTAACCCTTTAAGATCTGGGTTAGAATTGATCTTCAATAATCCATGCTTGTCGTAAGAGGTGGCTTAACAGGATCGTGTGGTCAGGCTGTGCCATTATATTGCTGGAATATTGCTGAAAGTGGTATAAAACCAAGCTCGCTCACTCACTCACTCACTCTCCTTACTCACTTCTGATATTGTTGTACTGCTGGGTACAATGCTACAAACAAATCGTTGACCGTAAACAACCTATTCAGAATAAAGCAGTCGCGATGCTCTCCGCTATTAGTACATCAAGATTTGATGAGCCTCTGTTCCAGACTCTTGCAAAATGTTTGTAAATCTCATTAACAATGTCTGAGGATCTGAATTGCTTTTGTGTTTATTGAAATGATTTCAGTTACCTTTCCTTCAATTCAAATGGGCTGATAATGCCTATTTGACAGAATTTGCGATTTAACACAGACGTAAGGTAGTCGAAAACCCCGGTGTATTTGGCCGAACCTTCCCCAGGGAAACTTTGGGTTTGATTCCCCACATGGGCACAGTTTGTGAAGCCCATTTCTCACGTCTCCAGCCATGATATTGCTGTAATATTGCTAAAAGCGGCGTAAAACTAAATTCCTCACTCGCTCACTTAGCGCTAAGGTTGTTTTGTACAACCCCACCTCCTTTAGGGTTTCTTGGTTAATTTTAGTCCCCATCAACCTGTCCTGGTTGTAAAAGGTCACTAAATGGATTGGGTGGGCAAGCTTGGTGGCTTGGCTGATGGTGTCTCCTCTTACACCAACGTATGGATTGTTCCTCACAATACCAATCACTAGATTATCTGGTCCAGACATGGTCATTTACAGGCTACTGTCATGGCGCTGGATTATGACAACTTTGGCTTTTAACAAGAGTGAGTAAAAAACATAGTCTTGGCCTTTGTTATGAATTAAAGCCCAACCTTGTCTGACTCTTGTTACAGTGTGCACCCAGGATGACTTTAGCGACATGCGGCAGCGTCTCACAGGATGGTTCCGCTTGCTTCATGCTGAGGACAAGGAGCATCGTCGTAATCACCATGGCAACCATCACAAGAAACACCACCACCTCTCTGTCAAGAAGGAGCTTAGAGATCACCATGGTTAGTAGATTATGCTCAAGCATTGCTGGATAGTTACCATGGTTACCGACACTTTATTCAACTCTGTCAAATACATCATTTGATAATCAGGGCATGTCAGCCTTGTCTTTGATACTTGGTTTTAAAGACCCATGGAGATACAGGTTAGAGTTTGTCTTCAGCAACCCATGCTTGTCGAAAGAGGCAACTAATGTGATCAGATGGTAAGGCTCACTGACTTGGTTGACATGTCATCATATCCCAGCTGTGTAGATCGATGATCATGCTGTTGATGTTGATCACTGGATTGTCTGGTACAATCGGGGGGAGCTGCTGGAATATCTCCTTTTTATACTTGATGCATCATGTACCGAGTCCCCTATCCGTAATGTGGTATGTTTGTAATGCTGTTGAGGATTTTTTCCCTGTTCTGCCTCTAGATGGCAAGTGCAAGGCCCAGCCCTCTGTAATGTGGTATGTTTGTAATGATGTTGAGGATGTTTCCCTGTTCTGCCTCTAGACGGCAAGTGCAAGGCCCAGCCCTCTGTAATGTGGTATGTTTGTAATGATGTTGAGGATGTTTCCCTGTTCTGCCTCTAGACGGCAAGTGCAAGGCCCAGCCCTCTGTAATGTGGAAGTTCCACACTCTGGATGTGGACACCGACCACCACCTCACCATCGCTGAACTTGCCGAGATGGAAAACAATGGTCGGGAGCCATGTCTGCGACCATTCCTCGAGTCCTGCGACACAGACAGAGATGCCAGACTTTCTGGGCATGAGTGGAGATGCTGTTTTGCTGATGCCAGTGAGTACAGTTGTGATGTCCTTTGCTGGTTGTCAGCTTTTCTTAGAGTTGTTCGAACATGATATATTCCAAAACAATTGTCTAGTCTATGTGATTCTGGTCACATTGCAGAGTGTGTAGTTGTTCTCACATTTCTAATGTGCTCCCTATATTCAGTAGTTGTACGAGACTAATTTGTTCAAACCTTGTCCAGGAGATGTTGTTCATTTATATAACAGACCAAGGGAGCTAACTTCTCAAATACATTTTTGAATGTACATCTGTATTGTATACAATGCAATCTGATTGGTTAAAACATTTGATTAAATGGGATTTGAAACTTAAAATCTCCTGGAAAATACACTTGATAACTAAATTAAATTTTCTCGGTCCCCAATTTCAAAAGGGTATCTGCTGACTTGGCAAAATGCTTGCCATTTTAGCTGAATGTAAAGTCAGATGATTATTTATAACAACCGAGATTGATTTATAAATCTTTTAGTCCACATTGCTAAACATGTTCAGTTTTCACAGAAGCATTTGGTGTCATCTATTGCCTCATGACACAACACTCCTGGGTTAAATCATTTCTATTCCAAATGTAATGTCTGTCTCACAACTGTCACAAAAATGAAGTCCGTCTGTCTCTCGATAAAGCTTCAAATGTGAAAACAATGGATGTCTACCTCCTAATATACTGTATGTATATATATATGCTTTCTTTAGTTGGTATTTCTGTCCTTCATGTTCAGTATTAGCTGTGTCTGTTACAATTCACATGCCTGATGCTTTGTTTTCAGTTCCTCCATGCTATGCCAAACAAAGGAACAACCATCTGGAGACAGGTGAGCAGACTTTGGCGATCTCCGAGTTTACTCTCATCAAATTTGACTATCCCAACTACGAATCGAACCTACAGTTTCAGTCTGATAGTTCAATTATATTTGTGTTGTTAAAGTAAAGTCTTGCTTCCAAAAGTTATCTATTGTGAGTGATTTGATAACCTCGAAATTACGGCATTTATTCACATTACCCTTAAGAATGTATAGAGTGTTAAAATTATATGTAACATGTTTAGGCCAAACCAATTTTATTTCTTGTTTTACAGATTTTTGCCCTCAGAAAACCTAAAGGCAGGAGGGAAAAAAATAAAAATAAAATCACCAGTCAAAGTAAAATTCCTTCTAAATACTCCAAGTATGTTACTTTTGGCAATTTATGAAGTGTATATTGGGCAAAAAAACAATCTAAAAACAAAATTTCTTGTATGGTTACATTTTTGGCCAATAGAAACATTAGGATTTTATTTTTTGAGCAGGGAAAATTAATTTTTATTTTTTTTCTTATTCTTGAATAAAAAACGACAGGCGGATCCGTAAAACAAGAAATAAAACTGGTCTGGCCATAGCATGAAGTGGACAGTGTAGACATTAGTTATACCTTATTTGACAATGTAGCAATATATGGAGAAATATGTATAACATGAGTGGAAATAAAAATTTTAAAAAAAAAAATTATTCGCAAAGATTGCTCTATGGGGATCAGGTAATGTTCTTGTGATATTTTTGATAAATGTGATAAATTGTCAATCATGTTTTCTATTTTTTAATGTATTGAAATAGGTGAACATGATATCAATGCATTGTGTCATGGATAGTTATGCTGATTGTTTCAGAGGCGTACATTCCCCGCTGTGACCGTGAGGGATACTTTGAGAAGGAGCAGTGTCATGGCCGCACCATGGAGACCAGGACATGCTGGTGTGTCGACCTCAATGGAAATGAGATCCCGAAGACAAGAGCTCGAGTCAGGGCACATTGTGGTATGTGTAGATTATGTGACTCACAGCACATTGTGAAATGTCCATCATCTTGCATGTATGATTTGGGTAACATTACAATGCACAGTATGTCGAATCAAAATAACTTCACTCCAAGACCCGTGAAGATCCGGGGGTAGAATAAGTCTTCAGCAACTCATGCTTGCCACAAAAGGAGACTATGCTTGTTGTAAGAGGCGACTAACGGGATCGGGTGGTCAGGCTCGCTGATTTGGTCGACACATGTCATCGGTTCCCAATTGCGCAGATTGATGCTCATGCTGTTGATCACTGGATTGTCTGGTCCAGACTCGATTATTTACAGACCGCCGCCATATAGCTGGAATATTGCTGAGTGCGGCATAACACTAAACTCACTCGCTCACTCAATTCACTCCAAGCTACAAGATAAGCTCATTGTTGATGTTTCCTATGATACTGCATAGAAATACATTGTACTGCTTCAGGTGAATACACAGGAGCTATAATGAACTAGGACCATGACAAAGTGAAATCGGCAATAAAACAACATTCGTTGTGATATACAGTACAAATTTTACTTTTTGTTATGATAAAAAACATTTACAGAGATATTAAGGTAAATCGTGTATAATTGTTTCTTAAAATAAGCTGAAAATATTATTTTTGTGCCCCCCAGCCATATATGGCTAGGGGCATTTAGGCTTACCCTCCGTGTCCGTCCGTCCGTACGTACGAAACAGGGAATGTACTCTATCCACTTCTCCACAAAAAACGCTCTGTGGAATTCAATGAACTTATACATGGGCTTTCTTGGGACTCTAATGGTGTGCATTTCATATTTTGTTTTTGTATTTTATTGTTTTTTGGTAAGTTCAGAGACATTTGAACTTAGGTACATTTTACTGAATTTCTCTATGATGATAGTGTAATAGGGGATGAAGTCTATCCACTTCTACACTAAAACTGCTCAACAGAATTGTATGAACTTCTACATGTCTTTCGTAGGGACTCTAAAGGTGTGCATTTCATAAATTTTTATGCAATTTCTTAATTGTGTCACTTTTTCAGATGTTTGAACTTAGTTGAATTTTGTTCTATTCAGCCTGTTCGTTCCATCCAACAGAGGGGTGTACGTTATCCACTTCTCCTCAAAAACTACTGTTTGGAATTCATTTAGATTACACATGTGCTTTATAGGGACTCTAAAGACGTGCATCTCATATTTTGATTTTGTATTTTATTTATTTTTCCAATTTTAATGCCGTTTGAACTTACATAAATTTTGTTGAATTTCTCTCTGAATATAGTGTAATAAGGGATGAAGTCTATCCACTTCTCCACAAAAGCTGCTCAACAGAATTGATTGAGCCACGTGTGTTTGGTTCGAGCAGGAATGAGCCAACAACAGGTGGCAGCTCATTTCCAATGCCATCGTAACACGATATCTGCATGGGTCGGGGAAACAGTAATGACGTTGCCGACCACCCACGTTCTGGGCGTTTCCGACGTAACAACGCCAAGACAGGACAGGTGGATTCGGGTGACTCATCTCAGATACAGGTTCCAGACAGCAGTGACCACGCCCCAGACCATTTCTCAGGCCTCCAATGCTCATTTGGTAGCCTCTATGCGTCGTCGTTGCACTGCTGTTCTTCACGCACATGGTGGTCATACCCGTTATTGATTTTGTGACTTCGTCTTGTGACCCCCTACTCGATTTTGAACTTATTATGTCATCGTTACGGATATTGTTCATGTTCTTTTGACATTTTCTTGTGGTCCGATACTTCAGCTTATAAAGTGTCCACATCTTTTCGTCTTTGCTGTGTTGTATTCCAATTATGAAGGCATTTTCTGTGTGCACAGTTTCTTTATGTGGCTAGTATATATCCTTATCATAACTCAAGAGAATAAGTTTGTATCCAGAGAATATGTTTTTACCTCCGTGTTTGAACTTGCTTATTATTGTGTTGATGCTCTAATTATTGGTTGATGCTCTAATTATTGGTTAATTATTGGTTGATGCTTTGTTTTGTTTTCAGAAAAGGTTGATGTCCTTGGCCACATGAAGAAGCACTAAGCAGCTTGGGGGATATGTACAGTTACATCAGGAGTTAATGTACTATAATGTATTGGTGAACATAGCACTAGTTCAGCAGAATCTACCATGTGTTGTAGACACTAAACAGGAACTAAATGGAAAGTTAATGGTCACACGCTACTTGAAGATGTCCATCCAAATCAGCCAAAATGAAGGAATTGTGATACACACAGCTTAACTGCTTGACACATTCATGTTGAAGACAGTCCGAAGTATGAAGTCTAATGGTGGTAGTAGCCATCTTTGCCAGAACCTTTGAAGCTTCATGAAAATGTTAAATATTAGTGTGAATGCTTTTAACAGTCAATTATTTCTTAATTATACTACTCAAAACAAGACAAGGAAGACAAATTTCTGTCCTACTGTAGCTGATCTGTCTGCATGACCTATAGACTATAGTAGTATGAAAGAATCGGGTGTGTTTTTGAGTAGTATGTTTTCGTAAGAAATGTGAATGGTTAATCAGCTAAGAATATTGTCTGTCACATTTTTGTTGTTTCCTGTTTTTGACCCATGCAGGTTTATTTGATACAAAAGATGGAACTTAAAGAAATATTGATATGTCTATACAAGGAGACCCTTCCTGTTGTGCGTGGTCCTCTCATTGACAGCATTCGTTGGTATGTCTATGCAATGTTTTTTTTCTATGTACTTGCTGCTGATTTGGTCACGTGGCAACAATTGATGTTTTTCACATTTTCTTTTTTCCAAAAATGATCTTGTGCAACAATTTGTCGTTGGGGACAGGTAAAATGAATTTTGGTTTTGTGATATTTCATTTTTCAGATCATGTAGACTGTGAAATTATTTGAGAACTGTTTTCACCTGTACATATTGGAATCACAATATACAAATTGGAATCAGTTGTAACACAAGCAGAATCTTTTTGTAATACTTCATAGTATGGTAGTTGCAACATGGTGCTTACTTGTGTAGCCTGATATCAGTGTATGAAATAAGCCAAAAACCCAGCCAGGCATCAGGGGTGGCAACTTCAAAATGGATTTAACCAGACCAGACAATCCAAAGAAAATTACTCAGATGTATGGAACATGTTTTCTAAAAACTTTTACCAGACCATCAGGCTGGCTAGCTGTAAATGTAGACTGCCTGTCAGAAATCTAGGGCGTCTCGGGCAGTTGGACGGGCCTTATTTCATGCACTGCTGATATATGTAAACGTGTGTGACAGTACCACAGACTTTGGACATCATGCATTGTAAAGAATGGAAGATAATTGTACGTCTATATCTACAAAGATATAAGCACAACGTTGTGTGGCAGGATATTTTATACAAAGCCACTGCTGCCACTTTTGGTTATGAAGAGAATGTTTGGATGAATATGGTCACACAATTATGATGGTCATTGAGATCGGACTGTAATCATGATTATGCTCTATACATGTCCGCAGCCACTCTTCCTGTTTAAGAAAAAACTACTTTCATGTACTTTCTGTGTTAGTATCTACTTTTGTCTTGCTTTGTGAAATTGATGTATGATTGCAAATAACACTTGTATAACCAATGAGCTGTGTTGAAGGGTGGTGTACTCGTACTTAGATATATATAATTACTTTTCTAGATATAATGTACTTGTTTTATAAAGGTGTAGATTTGTTCTGGTTCCTGACAAGTCAATAGCCAACCAATTTTAGTAACCTCTTTACAATTTGTATTTTCATGGTACATTTTGATATTTAGTTGTTTATAAAATACTGCCATAAGTTGGTAACCATCTGGTTCCCAATCGACAAAGCGTTCGTTGAGCTACAACATTCATAAGCCAATAGTAAACAGAGTTACAACAGGTTGTGACTTTACGAATGCTTTGTGGATAGGGTCCGTGATCTTTATGTAATTTCAAACCCAAGTATTGGAACCTTGACATTTCTTAGGTTGTGAGATCACCTGATTTCCTTCTCTGAATATGGTGATAGACCATGTCTGTACCTCTTTGTCTATTCTGTTCTTTTGGACTTGTGTAAAAAATTGTGTTTCTGTTTAGATGTACTGTTGGTTGTGACAAATATTAGAGTGCCAGGGTATATGTACTTAGCTTCTTTTCAGGTGTCAAATGTGATGAAATTAGGTAATTTACCATTTTTAGCCTTTTTAGCAATTATGGATGAAATCCATTGTTTTTAGGAGCACTGCACAGTTTGTTTATCTGTGTATCTTAACTGGTTGTCATGGGTACTGTGTAGGTTTATCCTTTTCACTCTGAAACCAGTATTTTAGGATGTATTTTTAGAAATATGGAAACTGTGATTTGCATAACAATTATAATCCCAGCTACTCTATAGAAGGTGCAGTCAGTTATCTGATATGCTCGCCTTGTCAGTAGTTTACAAATCGTGCACATTGAGTTCTGTCATTATTTTTGATGATGTATTGACTTTGTAAAGTGATCAAGTTCGCTACTGCAACCTGTTCTTTCCCAGAATCAACAAATACTGTATATGACAATAGTTTGAAGCTTAACATACTGTACATACAATTGTCATTGTTAAACAACGAATAGTACTAGAAAGTTCAGATTTCAGGATATATGCTAAGTAATTGTATGATTTGATTTTGAATTTATTGGAGATGCTTGTTACGTGTTGAAGTAACTCAAGTGCTATGTAAAATATATATAATTGTTACATAAATATTTTGTGCATTTCTTCAATTCTAAAACTGTGTTACAGACCTCACACCTATCATTCCTGTTAAGAACTCAGATCTTCCAACGTTTTATTTATCATGTTTATTTGCCTTCCTTTACATTAGAAATAAATAAACTTTTTCTTCTAACATGCTTTGGTTGAACTTATTGACATCTTTCCTGCTCAGAGGAATATACTGTTTCACCAGTCCAAATATAACCCAAACCAGGCAGTCGATCTATGGACAGGTGCTTTATCCAGGATATCTTGGAACTGGTTTCTATCAGTTGCATTCCCAGTGACAACAGGTGTCCTGCATCCCATGGCCAGCGCCATAACCTTTTGTTGCGAACTTAATCTTTTGTTCCAGACTTAGATATTCCGAATGACAACAGGTGCCCTGGAACCCATGGCTATATCCATGATCTTTTGTTCCAGACTTAGATATTCACAATGACAACAGGTGCCCTGGAACCCATGGCTATATCCATGATCTTTGTTCCAGACTTAGATATTCCCAATGTTAACAGGTGCCCTGGAACCCATGGCTATATCCATGATCTTTTGTTCCAGACTTAGATATTCCCAATGACAACAGGTGCCCTGGAACCCATGGCTATATCCATGATCTTTTGTTCCAGACTTAGATATTCCCAATGACAACAGGTGCCCTGGAACCCATGGCTATATCCATGATCTTTGTTCCAGACTTAGATATTCCCAATGACAACAGGTGCCCTGGAACCCATGGCTATATCCATGATCTTTGTTCCAGACTTAGATATTCCCAATGTTAACAGGTGCCCTGGAACCCATGGCTATATCCATGATCTTTTGTCCTAAACGTGTACATTCCCAATGACAACAGGTGCCCTGGAACCCATGGCTATATCCATGATCTTTTGTTCCAGACTTAGATATTCCTAATGATAACAGGTGCCCTGGAACCCATGGCTATATATCCTAATGATGATAACTTTGCCCTGGAACCCATCCTAAACGTGACCGTAGATATTCCCAATACATTCCCAATAACAGGTGCCCTGGAACCCATGGCTATATCCATGATCTTTTGTCCCAAACGTGTACATTCCCAATGATAACAGGTGCCCTGGAACCCATGGCTATATCCATGATCTTTTGTCCAAAACGTGGACATTCCCAATGATACCAGGCGTCCACCTTCCCACAGAGGCATATTTTGTCCTGAACATGGGAACCTGTGAAGATCCCAGTAAGAATTGATCTTCAGCAACCCATGTATGTCGTAAGAGGCAACTACTATCATAATCAGGTGGTCAAACTTGGATATTGTCGAGTGCTGTGTTAAACAACAAACAAACATGGGACATTCACAAGGATTATTGAATGATATCTACAGTGACATCACTTGTTATGTGCTGAAGACTCAAATTTGATTTTCCAGCATGGGTACAATTTGTGAAGCCCATTTCTGGTGTCCACCACAGGAATATTGCTTAAAGGTGTAAAACCACACTCACTCACTCAACCATTTGTTATGGTGAATCTGCTTAACTAAAGTACTGTCGGAAATAGAAAAAAGAGTATTTTCTAAAATTAATCTCTACAATTTATGTAGTTGACATGTGCAAGTGTGAAATATCTATTAAACTAAGTTCGGCCTAACTACAGTCTCAGTGGTAGGGACATAGGAAACGTAGAAAAAGGACTTATACTGAGGAGAGATTAGTGCAGAAATGATCAATGTGGGTTTTTTTTCTAAGTCCAAAACGATTTATTTGGAACAGACCATGGCTTTATGCAAATTAATTTGCGACGATATTGTATTACAAAGGACAATTTTTAAATGCCCAATTTGAAATTAGACGTAGCTTCATTATAAACGATAGCTGGCGTAAATATAATAACTTTCATGCTGAAATCATTAAGGATGTAGCTACCATGGAGTCTCACTGTCACTATTAAAAAAAACAGATAGGAAGGTTCGTCTCAAAAGCAAAACCTGGACGGGTGTTGCAGACGATCGTTGGGGTCGGGCTTGGTGGGGGATAGAGATATCAACTAAGATCAGATAATCCTTTAGGGCAATTATACTGGGGAAGTACACGGCATGTCTTAACAGTTTACAAATAATGTCCAGTCCTGCCGATCTTCGCGATCGGGTGGTCCTGCCACCTATATATTTTGAGACATTTAATACGATGCGTTTCTATGGTTATCATGTATTATACTCTTTTACATATCCCAACATAAACTTTTTGAAAGAAAGACCCATAAGATGTTAATCAATAGATGAGGCATAGTCAACACACATGAAACAGCACAAAATATCTTTGAGATGACCCCTTGTGCCTGTAGGCAGCACATGCATTTCATGCTAGGTGAGTCGACGGTCCGTCGTCATACCTGGCTGAGCGACCTAATTGTCATCTATAGTCTGATCTATTGTTTTCAGCAGCTATTCGTATTTTTTCTAAGTTTTGCCCGATTTTACGAGTAAACATGCTTTTCTGGATATCCTATTACGCATCCCCCTGAATGTCGAAGTGGGTTATTTCGACATATGCTATTTGCAGTTGTGTCAATTTTAGGGATACAGAGTAACAGCCTAAAACAGTTGTTTTCTTTTTCCGACAGAACTTTAGTTACAGGAGTTGTCTTAATTGATGCCCACTGGTTGAATGCATCTTTCAAGTGTGAATTTATCTTACAAATGATTTTACAGCAGCTTCACATATTTCACCAATCATACTTCATGCTCATAGATAAGGTACACAGAGATATAGCAAACCATTTTTTATTCAAAGGAGGAAAAGATGCATATCTACAAGGTATCTACAGTGAATGGATGATCCTTTGGACACATTGATTTCTCTGAACCGCTTCCATGTACAGGAAACAATGAAGCGAAACGTTTAGTCGCCATGGCAACACATTTAAGAACATGGGATTATATATGATTTTATCTCATTATCATAGAAGTAGCTATTTTGCATGGAATTTTGCTAGAACAATTCTTTCAATATGGCCTTCGGTGAAAACAAAGGGGGAACAATTTAGAATACATGAAATTTCAAAACAATTTTTTTAGTACATTAGTCATGCATAGATGGCTGGATCGTGAAGAAGGAATGGGTGCGAGTTATCACCACGACAAAGTGTGTGGTGGAAAAGGGAGCGAGTTAGGTGTCAATCTGGGAGAGAGGCGTGATGGGTGAAAGGGGGATTTAGCACCTCCTGCGCCTGATTCGGGATGTGGGGATGGTAAAACATGAGGACAAAAAATTCCCCTCCCTCCAACGTACCAACAATACCCAAACTGCTGTGCCCTAAACAGAAAATAGAGAGATAGTTTTGAGCTGGGTTGATGAGGGTATAACTCTGCGAATATTTGGTAGTTGATTCCTAGAGGATCATGATGCTGACAGCAGCTGTGGATGACCTTCGTCCTCCATCCTGAAATAACATTGAAATATAATTGATATGGCTTATATGTATCACACATTATATGATATATTCAAATATATGTCTTGATATAGCCGTAATCGTTGAAATGCCTTGGTGGAAAACTCATTTTCTCTGCAAGTCAAAGCCTATAGTTACAATGCCACTGTCCCATATGTGTGTATTTATGTGTCCAAGGTTTAGAAATTGTTTATAAAACGTACACATTCTCTCTTGTTATATCTTTGTAAACCTCAACCATCGGAAACAGAACACAATTGGTTGAATAACCTGGACTTGCGTATCAAATATTTCAAAACCTATAACACAGTTTCAGTGTGCTTAAGTTAACAATCATTTCCATTTATATACATATCATTACTTCTGGCGGCAAGCATTCATTGATTTAAAAGTACAAGAGAAAATAGTTCAATCCCTATTCATTTGCATTTACAGATAACACGGGCTCCCCTTTATAAAACACATTTTGCGCATGAAATACAACAAATGATCCATTTAAAAATGTTCAATGCCAGCATTAAGAACAGCAGTGAGATGAAATAGGGATTAAGGTGGTGCTCAAGATAATTGTATGTATTTAGCGCCATTGATTATCCATTTTCAAGCCCACCTTTCCATGTTTTATCCCCTTAATGTGAGGGTAACAAGAGACATTTTCTTTTGTCTTTCAGAATAACGTATGCAGAGGATCAAACTACCGACCTTTGGGCTGACGCTCTGTCCACTAGACCTGGACAGCAGTTAGAGTGAGTGAGTGAGTTGAGTTTTACGCCGCACTCAGCAATATTCCAGCTATATGGCGGCGGTCTGTCAATAATCGAGTCTGGACCAGACAATCTAGGGGTCACCAGCATGAGCATCGATCTACGCAATTGGGATACAATGACATGTGTCAACCCAGTCAGCGAGTCTGACCACCCGATCCCGTTGGTCGCCTCTTACGACAAGCATGGTTACTGAAGATCACTTCAAACCCGGATCTTCAGTTAGAGATTACAGTTAGTGTGTGATTACTAGTATATCTCACCCAACATCAGCATTCAGTCACACCAGTGAGATACCTGTGTATTCAACCTAATAATGAACAGCAAGTGTGATGTAAATTAGTTTGCAAATTCGGACTGAACAGATAGCTCAGACGTTTTTCATGTCTCTGTCTCTGTTTTTCGTGCTTACCGTTGCAGTTACCGTGAGAGCCACGTTGGCCACCTGCCCTGACAGCCCAAGTAAAGACCTAGCTGTAACAATGGTGCCAGTTCTTCCGTCTATTCTGAAGACTTGATTGCCGACGGGATCATTAGACTAGACAACAAATAATAATGGTAAATATACGGGTATTTATCTATTCACAAACTAGTCGAGTCACAGAAGGTGACACTGTCTGATGTTGCAGGCTCTTGACCTTGGCAATGTGTGTTGTGACATAGGATCCCCATGAAAATATTAGTCCTTCATGGACGGATAATGATTTACTTCAAACTACACCAGTTTGAGAGATATGAGTGAGTGAGTGAGTTTGGTTTTACGCTGCTTTTAGCAATATTCCAGCAATATCATGGCGGGGGACACCAGAAATGGACGTCACACATTGTACCCATGTGGGGAATCAAACCCGGGTCTTCAGCGTGAGGGGCGAACGCTTTAGCCTCTAGGCTACCCCATCGCCCCTTGAGCGTCATGAATGTATGGAAACGTGTAGGTAATTATTTCAGCCATACATCTTCATCAACGCCAATACCTATCAACCTACCCTCAATGCCCATCAACCTACAATCAATACACATCAACCTACCCTCAATACACAACGTATCTTGAAATGAGAGAGATTGAATGTTTTAGTTTTAGGCAGTCCTTTGCAATATTTCAACAATATCTCAGCGGTGGACACCTGAAATGAGCTTCACGCACCGAACCCATGTGGGGAATCAAACCCAGTATTCGGCAAGACAAGCCAACTCTTTTAACCACTTGGCTACACCACCGTCCCTTACCTACTAGGCATGTCAGTCCACCCTCAATACATAGCAACCTACCCTCACTCAATACATATCAGTCTACCCGCAATACACGTACACCTACCGCCATAGTGTATGTGATCTCTCCGAAGAGTCCAGAGTCGGCATCTGAAGCTGCCACTTGGATGACACGGGAGTTGACTGGCAAACTCTGAAAGGGTCATCATATACAGTGAAGAATCAGACAGTGACCATCAAGATAGGAGAGGTACACATACTGGGATCTGTTTTGTATTGAATTAAACATTTTTTTCACATTAAGTGAAAATGATCTGAATCACTACCCACATGCCTATTCTTAAGCATATTTAGAGTGATTCATTTTCAGCTACACGTGTAGAGGGTTGTACACATTTCTACCATGGGAAACGCGGTTGTGACAAACTAAAGTTGAAAGATGTACCTGAACCCACGATCACCATGATATCAGTGCCCTTTTCGCGAACATCTTTTATCACCACTATTTTACAGGGATCAAAACCTCCAGAATCTTTACAGTCATTTCCTCGCAGAAACAGACTAATACCGAAAGGATCTATCCCCAAGCATTAAGGTACGTTAGAGCATCTTTAGACAGGTACTGATACCAAAATGTTTTTCATGTTTTTCGTGTAAGCCCGATAGGTTGAAAAGCTTTATATTTGGATAGTATTGAGGTCTTGCCTAACTTTCATAGCAAAAATCACGTGTAAGCCCGGGCTTTTTTAATAATGGTAGCTACGCCCCTGTTCACCTTTAAGCTGTTGTTGGAATTGTACAGCATACTCTTCCTTAGACAGACATGTCTATGATTATACAACTGGGTTTATCGTTAATGTATTTGTTAGGCTCAGGTGTCATTTTAAGAATTCTAAGGCTTAAGTGGTGAATTGTCACTCTGAATTGCACCAGACTTGAACGGATGTTCCCAACAATGAAACAGGCTAACAATGTCTAACAATGGAGCCTGCACTCAAGTTGCACAGGCTAACGATGTCTTACTTCTTGAACAGTTGCCGTGTATGTAGTCTGGGTAAACACTGGGAAGTTGTCGTTCAGGTCCTCCACGGTAATCATCGCAGTTGCAGTGGTCTGAAACACCAAGGACATGCGTTGTGCTGCTGGGACATAAACATTATCCAGGGTCTCCATCCACAGAGCGTTCGTAACGTTACGACCTGTCGTAACTCTATAGTTTACCATAGGCTTACGAATGTCGTATGGCTAAGAACTTTCGTGGATGGGGACACAGAACATTATCATGACACTGTCCTCGTGTTTATTATAAGGAACGGTGGGGTGAATCTAGGTCAAAAGCCCCCTGGGACAAAAGTTCCTCGAAAAATGACCAAAAGCCCCTCACTTTACGTATTCATGGGAAAATAACATTAAAGACAAGAAATGATTAATGACATGAATGATTTTTATTGTTTCATGGTCTAATGACCCTAAATTATGTATAAATTACTATGTAATTAGCAAGTAATATTAGTTTGATCAAGTTTTAGTCAAATATTTTTCACAGAAATGTATATACACCTTGCTCATACTTGAGCAAATTGGCTCAATTAAAGTAAAGTTTTGCAATATACATCTATCCCTGTGTAATAGGTATCGAGTGTTTGCTGAAATATACCCATTTCCTCCTAGGGAAAGCCTTGGTTTGGCAGTGAGAAATGTACGTTTGTTTTGCAAAATACCAATTTCCTGTATAGGTTGCAGACTTTTCGAGTAAGAAATCATCACATTGTCTCCATTTCCTTTACATTGATACGATAAAATACTTAAAATACTTTATAAAATATAGAAGAGCAATGAGAAAAGTTCATCATATTTGAGAAAAGTTTTTATAAAATGTTAAATACTTTTTCCAACTTAAAATTCTGTATAAATAATATAAGAGCGGTGAGAAATGTTAATTCTTACATGAATGAGGGGCTTTTGATAGGGGTGCTCAAATTAGCGAGGGACTTTTGATCGAGGGGCTTTTGGTCGGTACTCCATTGGGGTAGCCTAGTGGACTCTTGATCAGAGGGGCGGTGGGGTTTGGTCAAAGCGTTGGCTCGTCACGCCGAAGGGATTAGCCTAGTGGTTAAAGCTTCGCTCTTCAGGCAGAAGACCCGCCGAAGGCACATGGGTACACTCTGTGAAGCCCATTTCTGGTGTCCTTCGCCGTGATATTGCTGTAATATTGCTAAAAGTGGCGTTAAGTAACCCCGGATGGAACACTTAAGCCACCAGACTACTCCAACAATCCCTTGCCATACAGTTGTTGCAGATTTTAGTGTGGTATTAATATGTTCATAGTATGTATCTGTTTACGTGTATTTGTAATCACACTAACCTTTAAGATTTAACACAATACGAGCGATCTGTTATTCACAAAATATTCACACAAACGTTGACATATCAGCTGCGCATTAGTCTTTTTCACATGATTAGGTGTCGTTGATATAAGAAGTATATACTTTCAGTTCGAAACCATGGTCAATTTTATAATGCAAGCTTTTGCACACACACGCATGGAAGCACTCAAGCACGCGAGCACAGACAAGCGGGCAAATGCACAAACATACAGGAATACCAATGTTAAATCAGACTGGTATACACATACACAAACCAATAGGTATACAAGCATTCAAACAGACAGACAGACAGACAAGTACACACAGACAGGCAGTCATTACCTCAGCCGCTCCATCGCTGGCTATCAACAGGACAGTGTTATTGACAGGGTCCTGGAACGATGAAAGATTATGTCATAAGGCTTAATGAATGTTACTTTTAACACGATTTTTCAGCTGTTGTCAAGTTACTTTCATATATTGTCAGAACGGACAATGTCAATATCACTGTAGGTATAATGTCAAACATTTTAAAAAGTAAATTATTAGTTTGAAATCATAAATTAAAATATGTGAATGATGATGATATATTCAACGGAGAAATTATGTTACACCATTCATTGTTACATGATGTTACACCTTTAGTAGGTAATTGTCCCATGAAACAAAAACATTTGAAGATACAAATCCTCCTCGGTCTTAAGAAAGAAATAGAGAAAGAAAATTTATATTTACCCTCTCGCGATCGAACACTGTGTTGATGAGCAAGTAAAAGGTGTAGTAGTTATTCACTACCTGACCTGTGGTCAGGGTTCTAACAAGGCTTGCGCCATTCGAAGCAGTGTCGCCCGCAACGCGCATCGTCAGACCCTGGGGGCCATCGAGGTCCGTGGCCTGAACAGTGCCGATGAAGGTACCTAAAAAACACAATACTCCAGTATTTAAGCAAACAGAGGCGACTGACGGGATCGAGTTGTCAGGCTCGAAGACTTTGTTGATGCATGTCATCGTATCCCAACTGCGTAGATCAATGCTCATGGTATCAGTCACTGGATTGTTAGGTCCAGGCTCGTCATACGGCTGGAAAAATGTGGCATTAAACAACAAACAAATAATATTCAAGAGTATACATTCTTGCTTTTGAAGATTCAGACTCGATTATCCGTCATATAGTAGGAATAATGATGAATGCGGCGATAAACATGCAAACAAACAAACAATCAAACAAACAAACAAACACGTCCCTTTATCGTTCATCTCGGCGTTTCACTCCGGATGCTATAATATTTATTTAAAAAGTTCAAAGTTACACACGAATAACAAATAGTCAGTCCTTTACGTTAATTCTAGGGACTGTCAGTTATACCGCACAATGGGGTGGTGGGGTGGCTCAGTGTTTCAAGCGTTCGCTCCTCACACTGAAGACCCGGGTTCGATTCCTCACATGGGTACAATGTGTGAAGCCCATATATGGTGTCCCCACTGTGATATTGCTGGAATATTAACAAAAGCGGCGTAAAACTAAACTCACTCACTCACTCATGTTACAGTCACCTACCGTTAATGTTGTTTTCCCTGACCGTGAAGGATATGTCCTGTTGAGAGAAGGTCGGTGCCACGTTGTTCGCAACTGCAACATATTCATCCCATTGTAATATATCAACTGAAAAGACGCTCAGTAACTCAACCCTATCCATGGAATCCGAGACGGAACACTGTCGCGTTGTCACCCGTATGATGAAAATGCGACAAAGTGACAATGTCCCTCCTACTATTCCATACTTATATGATGCTGTGTTCAACAAGTTAAGTGAATTCATCAATTTGTTAATACAGTTCTCTGGTGAAGAGTGTGTCAACAATATCGACATTTGAAATGACTTCTGTTGACGGTGCCAACAAAACAGTACAACTGACAAGCTTTGACCAATCGGAATTGTTTATTGTCACTCCGAATGGTGTTAATTTAATCTTGAATATCAAGTGATGATTAACGTTAAGGTTGAAATGGATACCTTACAAAAATCATAATAATATAATAATTATAACAGCAAAGAAAAGCTGCTTTGCAAGTGGTATACCATCTCAACACACATGCACACAAGCACGCAAGCACGCACACGCACGCACGCTCACACACATTATATTCCTGTTAAAATGACACGAACATGTAATACATCTTTAATAAAACGAATACATTTTAGCATGGATAGTTATTATTCATATTGATAAAAGCTTTAAATGACATTCTGACAACGACAACGACACGGTGGTGATGATGATGATGTTGTTGATGATGATGGTGATGATGATAATTACCTGTTACTGGACTTGACTGTATCACTATCCTCACCAGGACCGACGCATTCAGTGAGAGTGGTACACCTTTGTCCTGAAACATTACTTATACCTACAGGTTTCCTTGTTTGGCTTACAGGTAAATAGTTTTATTTGCAATTTTGCTATCATAAATGCTGATTTGTAAACAATACGCTATTGATTTCTGAATTGCTCACCTCAACATCACTGATTAAACAACTGATTATAAAATGATACTCTCAACTTTTATAGTTGTATTCCAGATTGTTTTACGAACTTCCGTAGTCAATGAAACAGGATGCCAGCATGAATGTTGTCCAAACTGATTTGTTGTTGATTTAAAATTTCTTTGAGTAAAGCAGAACCAAGGTTACGACAAAAACAATTTTAAAACTAAAAATGTTTTGAATCAATCACGTCGATTCACTTCAGGGCAAACACGGTAAAATGGTTCAATAAACATGGATATGACAGTACATACCCTTGCCTCCACCCTCAGAGTGACCATCTGACCATCGGCGAGAGAGCTCAGTGAATTCACGACAGAGATGACCCCTGTGTTCTGATCGACACTGAAGTAGCCAGGTACTGTCGATGACTGAAACATTAAACATGCGTTCACCAACTATTTTATATTTCGATAATGAGATTGCATTATATACCCTACACGACTTTTCAAGACATAGGAACCAGCAATGTCCATCTAAACACCATCTGGTCTGTTATCATTTGAATTCAAGAACAACGATAATAATAATTGAATATGTTTTCAGTTTGTTCGCGTAGGCACAAACAGACACAGACCAAAGACAACGGTGAATTTAGATATAACGTTATATATATTCTATTCTCTATATCTTTCTATAGAAATAACTTTCCATTTAATTGCGACCCTATTAAAGTAGCAAGTATATTTCATTTACACAACCATCCGGTAAACACTTATTTTTATAGGACTCGATTTCTCGGGTCGCCCCCACCCACTTCTGTAATGACCAAGCCTCCCTGCGTGACTCACCTGGACAGAGTACTGGACAGTGCCGTTGTTTTGCTGGTCAGGGTCAGTGGCGGACACGGTCAGCACGGGCGTCCCGACATCCACAGACTGAAACAGGCACAGATTTGAGTGGCTGAGTTGAGTGGCTGAGTTAAGTTCAGTTAAACTATGGCATATTATCAGTTGTATCTTCAGTTAGATCATGGCATGTGAATGAATAAGTGAGTGAGTGAGTGAGTTTGGTTTTACGCCGCACTCAGCAATATTCCAGCTATATGGCGGCGGTCTGGAATTAATCGAGTTTGGACCAGACAATCCAGTGATCAACAGCATGAGCATCGATCTACGCAGTTGGGAACCAATGACATGTGTCAACCAAGTCAGCGAGCCTGACCACCCGATCCCGTTAGTCGCCTCTTACGACAAGCATGGGTAACTGGAGGATCATCCTAACCCGGATCTTCGCGGGTCTCATGACATGATATCTTGATGTGGGAGGAAATCTCTTAGATTACTCCTGTTTTGGTGAAAACCCAGAGCACATGTATAGATGGTGTTGATAAACTGATAAACATAACATGAATTCAAACCCACATAGGCGCGCCTAAGGGATGCCACTTGTGCCTCTCCATTTCGAAAGAATTAACACAATGACAAATCATGATAAAGTGATAATTCAAAACGATTAACTTATGATTATTAACTTAATTTAATTTCTTCTGTAAGCTCGATAACTCTACATTATAATATCATTAATTTTGATGATTTAAATAACAAAATGCTGAATATGTTATATATACTAAACTGGATCATTTTATTTCGAAATGCCCAAAAAAATTACATACTTTTACTGAAAGATAATTATACTCCAGAAAGGTAAGCATAAAATTACTAATCATTATCCTTTTGTGGAATGGGTTCAGAACCTGTGCTGCGTACGTTCAGCCACCTAGAACCCAGTACACATAAAGAATAATAGTAGCATAAATATGTAAGTCGTTTTAGATTCTACATTTACATAATTCATGTCCCTGAATCTCCGATACACATTCCTGGGTTTTTACAACCATCCATCAGAAAAACTGTACCTTTGAATTATAGTTAAGGATTACACAAACATCTAGTCTCGAAATGAACATATTTACAGCAAAACAATTCCCAAATTATCTTCATAAATATAATACAATTTGGGAGGGAGATTTACTTCATTTTCGGATTCTGTAACTGTGGTGATCTTAATTACAACTGGTTCACCTGACACTTACTTTGGAGACGGTAGAAGAGTATGACGACGATGTGAAGGTGGGAGGGTTGTCGTTGACGTCCTCGATGACGATTGTAACCGTTGACGTAACCTTAAAAAAGCAAGCATATATTTCAATAAATGGCGGATGAAGATAACACTTTGGTAGTGATGAGCAGTACTGGAACCATTGCAATTGTATAAAGATCGCAACGTATAGGTTAAGTCCTTCGATTTAAGTGATAAATGTAATAAATTTACAACATGTAAAGACCTTTTTAATTTTAATTATTTTAAACAATGATGTGGGCCTAACAAGTCATTGCAAACTGTGCAGGGGCCGAGGGGGTAGCCTAGTGGTTAAAGCGTTCGCTCGATTCCGCCCGATTCCCCACATGAGTACAATGTGTGAAGCCCATTTCTGGTGTCCCACGCCGTGATATTGCTGGATTAGTGCTAAAAGCGGCGTAAAATTAAACACACTCACTCACCCAAACTGTGTCAAAATGTAACATCAACGCTAGGGAACCCATACCAGACGTTGCTCTCTGGCGTTTTTAAGCATCACAACCTCGTGTATTTACAGCTACAACGACTCCAATGGTTATTCCTAGTTAAGTTTGATCGTTACCTCTATGTCCTTGAAACCCTCCATCTGATTGGTTAGAACATATCAGATTCAGATTCAGATTCAGATTAATTTTTATTCAGTATTTCGGGCCTAAAGGCCTATAGTACAAATACACTTGCTACAATTATATGCACGTGGTGGTTGTGGTGCCATTTCTCGCATTGAAGACATGTTTTAAATAAATTGCAATAGATTTGATAATATCAATATTTTTAGACTGGACAATATTTGTTCATCTCTTACAGGTGTTGATACAAACGATAAATACTTACTTCTTAAATCTAAATACTTGGTACACACAAATAATACATGAAATTCACTTTCCATATTACCTGTATTACAATTTTTACAGATGGATTCATTTACATCACTGAAAGCTCTATTGGGTTTGCGTAAATAGTGAATTCTAAAATCATGAAAGCCAATTCTACATTTACACAACGCCCGTATTAACGATTTGTCTTGTAGGTTCATAATATAAAACTCCGGTTCTAACAAAGATTTATGAGAAGAATAGTGTTCTAAGAGACTTGATTTTTTTAGACATAGACCATTCTTGGAAGAAAATGTCCTGAAGACGTTGCTTAAAAACATATACAAAATTACACTCATTTCCAACCATTTGTTAGAACATATCGTTCTCATGTGTGACCCTATCAATGTGACACAACATAGCACACAGACCTGGGGTTAAAAGGGTACTTACTAAGTTTTGGCCGTCAGAGGCAACGATCCTGAACACCTTAGTCTGGTCCTGCAATAAGAACACCAATCAATGACCTCACCAATCAGTGGAATAAGCAACTTAAGCACTGGTCAATATTTTCAAATACCGATGGAAAAATCAGATCTGGGGCTCCTTTCACGAAGCAAACTTTACTAAAGTTAACCTTAGCTCCCGTTCTTTAACATTGCAAGTTTACCTTAGTGACTTACGATCACCTTAGTGCTTTGCGAAAGGAGGCTGTAATACTGACGAATATGAACAGATACAAATCATAAACTAAACTCAAAACATTCTATTAAGAAAAATACATTTAACGGTAAATAAAATTAAAACACTTACAAGTTCTCGGTTGAGGAATGTATTGAGGGTTATCCTGGCCAGTATAATTGTTCCGTTGCCGGCCGAACCCCCAATTTGGACGGTATCGAATGACTCTCGGTCAGGTAAAGACAAGGTCAACCTGTTTGGACCATCCGAGTCCGAGGCCCCGACGACAAACAGAACGCTCCCTGACAAACAGATCACACGGGGTAAATACACATATATTATTCCGCAATTTCACCAAAATAGCCGGAGTAAAAAATGTAACACTTCTCATTTCACTTCAGTATAGTAATGTAATAGTAACTCTATTTCGATCTACCTAAGCTGATATTTGAGACAACAGAATGTGTATAAAATACAATCTAAAACAAATGTTGCTGAGCAGTATTGCTTGGGTAAATGCTATATTTTGTTCTCAATTTACTTGGTTCCGTTAGCAATGTTCAAAACAATTAAGTTTGAATAAATATTTCCAGATTTGCACGAGACAGTGACTGCGAAAGTTTTAAAGTGCTTTTAGCCAATTTATGTTTCTGCCACAACACAAAGACGTACACACAACGTTCCAGTAAAGGGGGAACGCTTTAACCATGTTGATGCTGCGCATTTATGGTATTTCCAGTATGACCGTGTTCGTATTTTCAGTAATCCCCCATCCCCACCCCTTATTATTTCACCGCCTCCGTGGTGTAGTGGTTAGAGCGTCCGCCCGGAGAGCGGAAGGTCGCGGGTTCGATCGCCGACCGCGTCATACCAAAAGACGTTAAAATATGGTTACTTGTTGGTCCCTGTCTGGCGCTCGGCATTAATGGGTACAACAAGGACTGGTCGGCTCGGAGTCAGTATAATGTGTCTGAGTGGGGTAATTATGCTTCACTGCGGCATGGTATCTCAGTGGGCTAGCACTATAAAACCAGCTTAAGTCTGGGCTAGTACAAGCAGCCGCACATACACATACACACGCATGCACGTCGTCATATGAGCGAAATATTCTCAAGCACGACGTTAAACCCAATTTCACCTCACCTCACCTATTATTGCACAGGCTGTAGGAGTAGTCTTATGGTTAAAACAGTCGTTCGTAGAGTCCGATTCTGATGTCCATCTGATATTTTGGAACCATGGCTAAAAGCAGCTATAACTCAAAAGCCGCTATAATAAGCATTATGAAATGCATAACTTACCTGTCTGGGTATTTTCTGGGATATTGATGGTTGAGGGAACTCCTCGAAACATTGGACTCTGATTTTCATCATCTGTAATAATATTTTAATGACTCCGGTGGCTTTCTAGAGTGCAACAGAAACAGCGACTTTCAATTAAAATTTAACGTTTTATGCTTAATACGACTTTGGTAGACATGTGGTTGTTTAGGTTTACCGATGTCCAAGGCAATTCCTCATATTGAAGTCTACCATATGATCCAATGTTGTATTTTTCAGATGAACAATTTCCTTTGTTTCATATAATTATGGGGAAGTGTTTATCGCTTTTAATTACAGGTACTATAGAAACAATACAAGAGGAACTTGTACACGATGTGTTTTATAAATATGTGTCAACATACACACCACCAACTACTCTGATCGTCACATTGGCTGTTGACGTTAGGGGTGGGGTTCCATCGTCCTGCAGATAATAACACAACATATTATACATGAATGTTTCCAGGATTATATACACTGTAATAAAATATATATTTCTGAAATATTACTAGTTGACGCCAACTATTCTGTTAGCTAGTGATTCATTGTTTGGCGTTGATTTCATTTCGGAGTACTCTCTAAATTTGACGAAAGATGACCAAAGCGTTTCTGGCATTTTACCTTCATCGAACAATTACGGATATAGTTGGTTTGACATTTAACTGTATTAACCTTTAAGTATCATCCATAAAATCTTTGACATGAAATAGGTTAGCCTTCAATGACTAAAGAAATATAATCCTTGATATTAATTGTCAGCGTTTACTGATTAAAGAAATATATGAAATATAATATAATACATATATCAAATATGTTTGCTTTCGTTGATTGAAGTAATACAATTCTTTACATCAAACAGGTCAGCCATCGTCACTGAAAGTTACAGAATCTTTGACAGCCTTCATTGATTAAAGCAAATAGAATCTTTAACATTAACTATGTCAGCCTTTTATAGCTAAAGAGAAATAATCCTTGATATCAAATGTTAGAGATCATTGAGTAAAGTAATAGAACCATAACATAAATATGCTATCACCCGTCGATTAAGTAAAAACCCGTCGCAAATTCAACGAGTTCTGATAAATCACAAGATGCGAAGGGAAACCGTCTGTAAATTATATGTATATGCAAATTATAGCGTATATGTACTACGCACCGTTGCTATGACTGTGAAATTCACAGTCCTTCCAGCCAGGTTAGCGACTGATGCCACTTGGATGATTCGACCACTGGAGCGCTCTACTTGGAAGGCCCCTGACGAGTCTTGGGCTGTATTCGCCTAATGGAAACCACATTACTTGTGACATTCTTGTAAAATAATAGCAGGAAAAAATAGAGAAAGTTGAAAAAAGTAAACACGGATATTCAGTCAATTCATGTTTGTAAAGTTCCTTGCTTTAATCACGAGAGTATTAAAAAATCTAGGGAAGGGTAACAATATATGGATGCACAACTTCTTTATTACAGCGAGGGCGACGTTTCGTAGTTGGTTCTAACACCTCTATCAAACAAGTGATTGCCACGTCTCCATGATGACGAGGATTAACCGCTTTGAGAAGTTAATAATAATTTAATCAATTTACTGAGTTTAGGAACCTTACTATTACGTTTATAAGACTAAATGAATTCTTATGTACATCGTTTTAATTTAAATCACAATAGTATGTATTTTGTCCAGCTCAAATGTAAGTATTTCAATATTTATATTTAATATATTGTATTCATATACCTACATTCGTTACGTTTTCATTTTTTCCACCAAATAAAATCAGTGGCTAAGAAGGCATATAAACAGTTATCAGTTTCCAGGTATAAAGTATGCTTTACTTGGAGAGTCCAAGCAAGTGGATGGAAGTATAAACTATGCTTTACTTGTTTCCTGTAGGTCACTAGTCCATTGTTGCCAGTGTCAACATCCGTTGCCGTGGTCTGAAGGATCATACTGCCAACTTGATAACTCTGCACAGAACACAAATCCGTATATAGTGGACTCCTGTTAATCTGAACGGTAACATATCCATGCGTCCCGAATAATTCAAGTTTAGATTATAGAAAGTTGTAAAGTCCCTTACGGATCGAATATTAATATTCTGTTTCCCCTTATGTTCAGCTCCAGACATTTTCTGTTGTAATTTCTGGAACGATCCTTTTGCTGTGTGATGGTGTTTAATACAAAACTCGTTAAATGTCGAGTCTCGAAAAACAGGACTAAATTGAGCGAAAGCTGACACCTGTAGTTTATTTCTGAGTATATTTCTATTCCGCTTACGATTGCATCGAGTGACGTAAACTATAAAATAGATGTGCATACTATTGAAAACTCCCATCTTTAGCAAACATATTTTGTCAATATATAGATACATAGGATAGCAAATGTTAAAACATATTCATCAGATGACATCGCAATCAGTTATGTCACATTACAATGAAGATGTCAAACGGTATACAGAAAGAGACCAAACTTACAGCAGGAATATTGGAACTGTACAGTCGCTGGCTGAATACTGGGGCGTTGTCGTTGACGTCTTGCACCTGAACTGTCACGGTAGCAGTGGCCTAGAAAATGTCCAACAAGAGGAGTGAACTCACGATTGAATCTTGACAGATAGAACCTTTGTAAGTTTTAAGGAGGAATATTCAGAGACGAGGTTCTTAAATGTTTTCCATGAACACATATATTGCGTTTACATTGAAGATCATAATCAGGAACCGAATCCATGATCAGCGGATCCTGCCACAGCTAAGGGCCGCACACGCCACGGCATAGGGCCAGCCTATGAACACATACGCATTTGTCGCAAACACCTGGTGTCATCCTTGACTTCAATCAAATACTTTCCACAGTTGTTTGCCCCTTTACACCAAAAGGAATTTGGTTCTGAGCATAGTCATGGCTGGGTATTCTTTGACCTGTCGTTATATATTTCTGTAGGTTCCCTCTCAATACATACTACCACTATCATACTATTAATTCTACACTTGGACCCACTTGTCTATCCCTTATTTGCCAAATAATTTGTTAATCCTTAAGACTTACTGCACTTTTACTCACGTTCAGTCAAGTGAAATGCTTACTGTAGCTAACCTATTTATTTGAACAAGTCTTACCTGTAAACGCCCATCACTTGCAACAACTAGCAAGAGGTACTGTGGTGTCTGGAACATATATTTACCAAAAAACGTTACAGCAAGGAGAATTTTTTGCAAATTATTTAATTAATAAAACATAACGTTCAGCAAATACAGGCTTCTAACATTGAACTGAATGCGTGTTTATTATCCATACATTCAGTTTTGTTTACCATTACTAGTTTAATTATGAAGAATGATGATAATTTTTAAGGATATACAACTTCTTTAATTCGTTTGAAAGGCGACGTCTGGACATATATTCTAATGTCGTTGTCAAGCAAGTGATCATAACAACATTAGAATCTATGTCGAAACGTCGCCTATCACAGAATAAAACAAATTGTATATTCATAAAAATTGTCATTATTCTTCATCACCTCAACTGCTAAAATGCCCATCAAAGAAGTAGTTTAATTATGTAGAGATGTTTATTCACTTTAATTGCTGCACTAAAGGGTAACAACGCCTACTCACAACTTCTCTGTCCAGAGTTACGGCTGTTACTATGGGAATGCTACTTCCAGTATTGGTATTAGTGGGTTGTTGAAGGGCGAAGTTTGAATTGGCGTCTTCTAGCATACTGAATGAAATGCCTTGACCACCATTGGGATGACGAGCTGTTAAACTGGTTATGATTGTGTCTGAAAGGGAAGCAAATAAACTGATGTTCAAAGATTCGGATCTATTGTGAACTCGTTTTAGAGGGACACGTTGGTGTTCGTTACCTGGACACAGTGGTTGAATGGCTTTTCGGGCTCAAACAAGTTATTGGGTAGAACTACACACATAGAAAACGTATGGCAACACCTATGATCTTTAACCCTCATGTGAAATCCGGGGTAGAATATGCAGCAACCCATGTGCTTGCCATGATCTTTTAAACCCTCATATGTATTGACGATGTCATCGGTTCCCAATTATGTTTGCTTTGATATGATTGTCTGGTTATTATTTACAGACCGCCGAGCCCTGCGGCGTAAAACTGCGCACCACTCCCATACATTTACTAAACGCATCTTCCATTGTACGATTATCATGAGCATGTGTGTCTATGAATCACTGGCAGATAGTGACGAGAATATATCTTTGTGATATGATTAGCGAATCCTGTGGCATCCGTCATAAACACACGTACAGTTAAGTCAATTGTTCACCTTAAAAGCGCGGGGTGATATGGTACAAGTCTACATAGGGAAGTACATCGAACATAAAATTTGTCACTGGTGCAACATATTTGGAAACGATATTTAGAGCGATGATAAGCCCGAATCATTCATTTATCATATTACTCTTCGGTCCAGGAGGACAATAACTGTAATTGAAAGGTGGCTTCCGCCATATTAGGTGACATGCGCCAAGTCAGATACCTGCAACAGTCGGCAGCAATTGCAGGACTGTTTGTTTGTTCGCAATCAAGCAAGTCAGCAAGCCCGAATAACCGATTCCTTTAGTCACTCTCGCGACAATCAAGGGTTGCTGATGATCAGTTCTTCACGGGGGCAGGGCGAAATGATAATGACCAGTCCTCACACTGGCTTTTTCACCGTCAGGGAGACCAGACAAAAGCATCATATTGGGACACGTGTAACAACATCAGCCAGGGGAGACCTGGTTGGTCAATCAAAGATACTCTGCTTGTGTTACATTTATCTACTCATAACGTGTGGACAATGCTTACTGGCAGGCTGATTTTCTACCACGGTGACGAAGACTTGGGATCTGTCAAACACTGGCCCTGTGTTACTTCCGTCATCTGGAACAAATGAACGTAAACGACCTGAATAAAGCAGCTGAAAGCAGAATCTATAATCTATAATAATAATAACATGAATCTTTAAGTATAACATTCTTAGTGTTAAAGCTGATGTAAATGAACGGTTTAGGTTTTCGTTGCAGCTATTCACTGACACATATCATGGATGGGTTCACGGCTTCAAATACACTTAAGACATTTATATATGGCATAAATTCAGGTAAACACGTATTTAGGTAAACACGTGTCATTTATCGACAGATCATTTTCCATTAAACTATATTCTAAAAAGTTATAATTCGGCGATCAAACTGACTTCATCACTAATTATGTTTAGAGGGTGCAGTTAGGCTGGAATGTTGGATCGTGATCTTAATGTTGACGTGTATCATATGTTCCAATGTTATATTTTCAGGTGAACAATATTCCTGTGTTTCATAGAATTATGGAGACGTTTTTGTCGTTTTCAATTACAGATACCATAGAAACAATACAAGAGGAACTTGTAAACGATGTGTTTTATACATAAGTGTTAACATACCGACTACTCTGATCGTCACATTGGCTGTTGACGTTAGGGATGGGGTTCCATTGTCCTGCAGATAATAACACAACATATTATACATGAATGTTTCCAGAGTTAAACATTGTAGGAAATATTAATAGTTGACGATGTTAGTTTGTGGTGGATTGTTTAGCGTTGATTTCATTCAGCAATACTCCCTAAATTTGACAAAAGATAAACAAACAGTTACATGTATTTTGCTTTCATTGAACAATTACAGATATAGTTGGTTTGATATTTTATATTACATTAACCTTGAAGTATCAGCCGTCAAATCTTTGACATCAAATAGGTCAGCACTCACTCATAAAAGAGAATATAATCGTTGATATTAATTGTCAGCGTTCATTGATTAACATTGAAGTAATACAATCCTTTACATGAAACAAGGGACCAATCTTCACTGAAAGTCACAGAATCTTTGGCAGCCTTCATTGATTAAAACAAATAGAATCTTTAACATCAAATGTGTCAGCCTTCAATGATTGAAGAGAAATAATCCTTGATATCAATTGTTAGAGTTCATTGAGTCAAGTAATAGAACCCTTAAACATGAATATGCTATCTGCAATAGATTGAGTAAAACAAAAACGCCACATATTCAACGAGTTGTAATAAATCACAAGATGCGAAGGGGAACCATCTATATATTATGATGAAGGGGCGTGTTCTGTCTCAGCGTATATGTACTACGCACCGTTGCTATGACTGTGAAATTCACAGTCCTTCCAGCCAGGTTAGCGAGTGAGGCCACTTGGATGATTCGACCACTGGAGCTCTCTACTTGGAAGACCCCTGACAAGTCTTAGGGCTGTATTCGCCTAATAGAAAACACATTACAAGTGAAATTCTTGTAAAATAATATCGAAAAAAATAGAGAAAGTTGAAGAGTTGATACGGATATTCAGTCAATTCATGTTTGTAAATATATTTGCTTTAATCAAAAAATATTTAATAATCTAGGAAGAATAACAACATATGACTGCACAACGTCTTTGCTACAGAGAGAGCGACGTTTCGTAGTTGGTTCTAGCACCTTTATCAAGGAAGTGATTGCCACGTCTCCATGATGACGAGAAATAACCTCTTTGAGAAGTTAAGATTATTAATCTAGTCGATTTACTAAATTCAGAAACCTTACTGATATCTAGATGCATGCGATGAATGATATATGTAAGTTTATATTAAGACTAAATGAATTCCCGCTTCCTATTTGCATATTTAAAGCACAATAGTATAGGGATGGAATAGTAGTGGATGGAAGTATAAACTATGCTTTACTTGTTTCCTGTAGGCCACTAGTCCATTGTTGCCAGTGTCAACATCCGTTGCCGTGGTCTGAAGGATCATACTGCCAACTTGATAACTCTGCATAGAACACAAATCTATATATAGTGGACTCCTGGTAATCTGGACAGTAACATGTGCATGCGTCCCGAATAATTCAAGTTTAGATTATAGAAAGTTGATGCTTATTAAAGTCCCTTACGTATCGAATATTAATATTCTGTTTTCACTTATGTTCAGCTCCAGACATTTTCTGCGGTAATTTCTGGAACAATCCTTTTGTTGTGTGGTGGTGCTTAATACAATACTTGTTAAATGTCGAGTCTCGAAAAACAGGACTAAATTGAGCGAGAGCTAACGGTAGACACCTGCAGCTGAATATATTTCTATTCCGCTGATGATTGCATTGAGTGATGTAAACTATATCAAAGATGTGCATATGTGTATTGAACACTAACATCTTTAGAAACACATATTTTGTAAATATACAGACACAGAGGCTAGCAAATTAAAACATATTCATCAGATGACATCGCAGTCAGTTAGTTGACATTACAATGAATATATCAAACAGTCTACAGGGAGAGACCAAACTTACAGCTGGAATACTGGAACTGTACAGTCGCTGGCTGAATACTGGGGCGTTGTCGTTGACGTCTTGCACCTGAACTGTCACTGTAGCAGTGGCCTAGAAAATGTCCAACAAGAGGAGTGAACTCACGATTGAATCTTGACAGATAGAACCTTTGTAAGTTTTAAGGAGGAATATTCAGAGACGAGGACCTTAGATGTTTTCCATGAACACATATATTGTTTTACATTGAGGATCATAATCAGGAACCGAATCCATGATCAGCGGATCCTGTTGCAGCTAAGGGCCTAACACGAGACGACACTGGGCCACGACATAGGGCCAACCTATGAACACATACGCCTTTTTCTAGAACAAATGGTGTCACCTTGACTTCAATCAAATACTTTCCAGAGTTGTTTGCCCCTTTACACCAAGAGGAATTTGGTTCTGAAGATGATCAAGGCTGGGTGTTCTTTTGACCTGTCGTTTCATATTTCCTTAGGTTCCCTCTAAATTCATACTACAACCACTATTATACTATAACTTCTACATTTGACCCCACTTGTCTATCCCTTATTGCCAAATAATTTGTTAACCCTTCAAACTTACTGCACTTTTACTCACGTTCAGTCAAGTGAAATGTTCGCTGTAGCTAACCTATACAATTCTTACCTGTAGACGTCCATCACTGGCAACAACTAGCAAGAGGTACTGTGGTGTCTGAAACATATATTTACCAAACAAAAGTTTACAGCAAGGAGAATTTTTTAATACTATTTAATTAATAAAACATAATTCAAACGTATTCAGCAAATACATTCCACTATTGCAGAATTGAAGAATGCGGGTTTATCACCCATATATTCAGGTTTTGTTTACTATAATTCCAGCGCTAAAGGGTTTGGTTTGGTTTGCAGCACTCAGCAATATCAGCTATATGACGGCGGTCTGTAAATAATCGAATCTGAACCAGACAATTCCGTGATCAACAGCATGAGCATCGATATACGCCATTGGGATACGATGACATGTGTCAACCAAGTCAGCAAGCCTGACACCCGATCCCGTCGCCTCTTACGACAAGCATGGGTTGCTGAAGACCAATTCTAACCCGGATCTTCACGGGTACAGCGCTAAATGGTAACAACGCCTACTCACAATTTCTCTGTCCAGGGATCTGGTCGCTACTATGGGGATGCTACTTCCACCATTGATACCAGTGGGTTGTTGAAGAGCGAAGAATGAATTGGCGTCTTCTGGCATGATGAATGATATGCCACCGTTGGGATCACGAGCTGTTAACCTAGTTATGATTGTGTCTGTAAGGGCAACAAGTGAATTCAGGTTAAAAGTTTCGAAACTATTGTGTAACTCGTTTGATATGGACACATTGATGATCGTTACCTGGACACAGTGGTTGAATTGCGTGACAGTCTCTTATCAGACTAATAATTGGGAAGAACTATACACATGGAAAAAGTAACGCTACACCTATGATTCTTAATCCACATATTTAAATCACATTTATGTTGGTTTCTATGATTATTTTTACCTTTCGGTCGCACCATATATTTACTAAACACATAGTCAATTGTAAGAATTCCGACTACATCATAAGCATGTGGGTCTATGAATCAATAGCAGATTGTGACGATACCACATCTTCGCGAAATGATGAGCGTATCCTGTCCAGCGTCATAAAGACACGTGTACAGGTCAATTGTTAACCTTAAAAGCGCGGTGGATATGGTACAAGTCTAAATAAGGAATTACATCCGGCATAACTTTTGTCACTGGTTCATAAAATTTGGAAATGGTATCAAAAGAGGCGCTGCTTAAGAAAAAATGTATCTACACATAACTTATGGACAATACTTACTGGCAGGCTGATTTTCTACCACGGTGACGAAGACTTGGGATCTGTCAAACACTGGTCCTGTGTTACTTCCGTCATCTGGAACAAATGAACGTAAACGACCTGAATAAAACACCTGAAAGCAGATAGGTAATAGGAATCTTTAAGCATTATATTCTTGGTGTTGAATCTGATGTCAATGAACGGTTTAGGTTTTCGTTGCAGGTATTCACTGACACATATCATGGATGGGTTCACGGCTTCAAACGTACATTTATATATTACATAAATTCAGGTAAACACGTGTCATTAATCAATAAAAGTTTCCATTACATATAAACCATACTCTAAAAAGTTATAATTCGGCGATCAAACTGACTTTATCACTGCTGTTGTTTCCAGGCTGTAGTAAGGTTGGAATGTTGGAATGTTGGATCGTGTCGTGCATGATGCCGTAATGCTTACCTGGTTGTCCCGTTATTTGGATTTCCACAACAGCCGTGGAACTGAGTGGAGGTGTTCCATTATCCTTAATAGAGGGAGAAGCAACGTCATCTCAGATTGTGATCATGAATTGTTACCGTTATCCTTATATAGTTATAGTAAGAGAAGTGAAGTAGTTAACATTTAGCATGAACAGTTAGTGCACAATATCATATAAATATATTTGGAATTCTTATTCTTACCATTAGCCTTTAACATATTTGATACAATATCATTCAGGCTTATTTGCTAACCTTGTATCTTACATCAAGATGGAACAACAACCGATTCCTCATTATCTTCTAAAGTAAATGCAATAAATCTTCTTTAAGTTATAATCAACGTGAGAAAGAGTTATGGTGTCCAAGCCAAGAAACTGTACGCAGTAAACAATGTGGGAACATTCCAGCTATATGGCGGCGGTCTGTAAATAATCGAGTATGGACCAGACAATCCAGTGATCAACAGCCTCAGCATCGATATACGTCATTGGGAACCGATGACATGTGTCAACCAAGTCAGCGCGCCTGACCATCTGATCCCGTTAGTCGCCTCTTACGACAAGCATGGGTTGCTGAAGATCAATTCTAACCCGGATCTTCACGGGTCAATGGTGAGTGCACAACGTAACCGTAATGTACCTGTGCTACAACAACCATATTCCGAACTGTATTTGCAGAGAGCGAAAGTGTGGCCAGGGTTGTGATCATCCCAGTGTTCGCGTTGATAGTAAATTCAGTTGATGTCTGAAATAATATGAAAACATTGACACAATTCCCGGACCTGATAGATAATATACACAGTCATTCAATCATTTAATATATCGCAATGTCTTATATTAGCTTTATGTGTTATCGTTATGTTATGTTATTTACTAAATATGAAACCCAATATTATAATCATCCAAGCAGCAAGAAAATACTCGAAATTTCAATTTTTCAAAGAAACTTGAAGTAACGAGAAAATAGTGAGTGAGTGAGTGAGTTGGGTTGTACCCATAAAATTTAATATTATTCACACAAAGTTGAGATATATGACTAGTCAGTTAAATTATGATCTGTATCGTTTCAACATGAAAGATTCTGCTTCTTGTTACTGTGAAAATGCTTGTGAAAATGTACATCACTTCCTATTAGAATGTAGACTGTACAGCATTCAAAGAGAGATATTAATGTTAAATATTAAAAATATTGTAAAACGTGATTCTCCAATCACATTGTCACTGATGTTACTTGGAAGTCCTGACCTGACTATTCAACAGAATGAATGCATTTTCAAATGTGTGCAAACTTTTATTCATCAATCAAAACGTTTTGAGTGATCACATAAGTCGTGTCCCTTCCTCTCTTCTCTCTTTTACTTTCCTATCTCTTCTCTGTATTCTTTCCTAAGATGTATATAATTGAAATTGTATGTATGTAAATATTAGGGAGCGGGTATTTTAAGTTGGATAACTTGTCCCCAATCCCTTTCACATTTGTGAATAAAATATATTTAAATCAAACCCATCTTTTAGCAATATTCCAGCAATATGAT